ACACTAATCAAATCATAAACCCTAAAATTTCTACCTAGGCCGAATAGTACCCTAATTTAATCCATACATTTTCTTTCCATTTTAACACCAATTTCTCTTATAATTTCATTCAATTAGACTTTAACATCAATAACTAACTCAATTAGGTATTAATTGATCAATTACATGTATAAACTTTAAATTGGGCCTTATTAGGCCTAAATCCTAGATTACGGAATTTAAGCTATTTTTTCAATTTTAATATAATAGCTCATTCTAACTCATCTCATTATATTATTCTAAGTCTAAATTGATTAATTAAAGTATTAGAAATCAATTACACCTAAACCCTAATTTGTTCCTAATTTGAACCGAATATTACTCTAGCCTTAACCTCATTACTTTCTTCTTGTTTCATCACCAATTCCTAATATTAAGTTATTCAATTATACATTAGCATTAATAATTGATTTATTTAACATTAATACATCAAATACATGTATAAAACCTAATTGGCCCTTAATGGGTCGAAATTGAGCCTAAGCTAAATTAGGTAAAATTCTTTAATTTTCATAGAATTTTTCACTTTTACTCATCAAATAATACTTATTCAATCACTAATTAACTAATAATTCATGAATTAAGTGAAGGAATCAAAACCCTAAAAATTTGAAATTTAGGTCGAATGCTTCTTTAGGGAAATCATTGAATTTTCTTCAAATTTAGTGCAATTTTCCATTCTCAAATACTAATTCATACCTAATTAACACATAATCAAGCCATAGAACGTGAATTAGATCAAATGATTAAAAACTCTTAATTTCCTATTTTGGGTCGAAAGTTTACCTCTTTTTAATCCTAGAAATTTTTTGATTTCTAAACCTCAATTTCAAGCTCAATCATCATATTTCAATCTTAATTTAATGAATTTATAGCTTAATTTTATTTTCTCTTATTTTTCCTCATCAAGAATGCTAACCAAAATTAAAGCTAATAATCACAAATTAAAACATCCAAATCATTAATTAACATCAATTAAATACTTCTTGTGGTGTAGATGAAGTTAACTTACTCAAATAAGCTCCCAATTGTCCTTGAAATGTTGGATTATTTGAAGAATTCCTTCCTCCTTCTTCTCCACTAATTTCGACCTAAACCCTAATTTTACCCCTTGATAGATTTTGATCTTCTAGCTTGATTTCTTTGCTTAATTAGTTGTTTTAGAGTGTTTAGAGGTGATTAGGTGAGTTTTTTGGTGGAAATTCCTAGAGAAAATTTGCAAGAGTTTCCTTTGTTCTTTATGATTTTTCTTGCATTTTTCTTATTTTCTTGCACCCATATTTATAGGAAAATTTTGGTGGACCTTTGACTTCATCTCTACCCTTGGTTTGCTATAATTTGGTGTGACCCTAGCCCTTAAATCATCTTTAAATCCTAGCCTTTCAAATGGATTAATCTTGGCCATTAACCTTTCTTTTAATTTTGGCCCTCCATCTTGCCTAATTCTAAACACCCCTTTTTAGTTTAGTCAGAGCTCATTAATTAACCCCTAATCATGCTTTTGGAAGTCTGCTAAAAGGGGTAAATATCTCTCTAAAAATTGCTTAATTTTGGTCCTTTACTTTTCTAATATTTTCTCTAATTACTCCTCCATACATCCCTCAATTTTTCAATTGATTACTTTAGGCCCTTCCTTTAAAGATATCTTAACAAATTTTTAACTCCTAAATTTCATAGCTAATTTAATTTGAAAGTTTAAACTTTTATTTTTATGCAATTTGGTCCCTACTTTCTATGCAATTAGGTCCCTAACTCTAAAATTTTACTCCATATCTTTCTAAAATTCAATTTATTTTCATAATAAATTCAAAAAATTTCTAAAAGACTTTATTCATCATTCACATAATTTTTATACCTTTATTTAGGCCTTCAAATTAATTATTTAGTGTAAAAATTACACTATTTCCTATAGAAAATATTCCTTATGTATAGAAAAATTCATCTAAACTTATTAAATATTCCTACACATTCTAAATGATTTTTATATACCCTTAGAATAATTTTATTATATCTTTAAAGCACCTAAATTAATTAATTTACCTCAAAAATACTATTCATGAACAATAAAATGTAAATAAAATATCCACAGAATATCGGAAAATTCATCCAACACCATAGAATAATCTAATACCCCTCTAGCAAATATTCTAGGAAAATAAAACATTTTTCATGCACATTTAACATACCGAATTAATTATTTCACTTAAAGTCCTATTCATGCAACAAGAAAAATCATAAAATATTCACTAAGCATGAAAGACTATTTTAATTATTATTAATATGCTCACACCCTTTTAATATCATTTTATATTCACAAGATATTTCTCATATACTTTTAATATTTTTAAATTCATTAAATTTTAGTTTTAGTGGATATTGGGTATTACAATTGGATTGTTCTCGCATTTTCTTTTTCTTTTTCTACTTTAATCGACAAGATTGGAGATATTGTAATCAAAGTTAGATTTCCTCCAATGTTAAAACTTAATTTAAACATAAATGAACTTTCAAGCATATCGATTGTCTAAAGGCTTAATGTTCTAGAAAATCATGAATTATACTTTTTTTTAATGATTTTAGCTCGTTCTTTCAAAATTGTATACACAAATCACCAACTAAGCATCCAATAACAATTTTAGCATCGATCCGATTTTTCGATCAAAATTTTGACCAACGCCGACATGGTAGTCAATGTAAGAATGGCACACGGACGTTAACAAATCATATAGGATCCATATAAGTAGTGATGTGAAAAATCAATTATGTGGATCCTTGTGGCTTGCTAAAATTCACGTGTCATGCTTTTGTCACTCGCTATGTCGGCGTTGATCGAAATTTTGATTGAAAAATCAAATCGATGCTAGTATTATTATTGAATGTTTAGTTGGTAACATTTCCATATAATTTTTTTAAAAAGAGGTAAACTAATTAAAGCATATATAGTTCGTAATTTTTTGAAAAATTAAGCCTTGTCTAAATAAAGGATTATTGTATGTCAAAAGACTATATATATATATATATATATATATATATATATATATATATATTCTTAAAAAAACAAATAAGTGAAAAAAATGATTAAATTATAAATTGATTTAAAAACATAAGAATTAGTTAATTAGTTTTAAAACCAGAAAGAATATTTAATTCATTTCAAAAAACAGGTGGGACTAATTTATAATTTACTCTATGACCATAATTATGTTTCAGACCCCATGATCTAAGGATGAATAAGAAAACTCTAGTACTGATATTCAATTTTATTGGCAGTTCCAATCTTGCTACGATCGACTAATGCACATTTTCTTAGAACATGATGTTACTTGCAATCCAGCTTCTTTTTCATGAAGAACGCCTTCTCATTTTGATTTTTTAATGTTCCATGACAACTATACTAAATAGCCACCGCGTTTTGCATCTTTCTACGGCCTTTTGTTTTCTTTTGGGTTACCTTTTTTTTTTTCCTTCAGTTTTTTGTTCTTTTCCTTTCTTTGGTGAAAAAACAAACACCAGTACACTTTGCCGTGTCCATTGTCCATGTTCCTCTTCTTTTATGCAACGGACAATATACATGTACGTGCTTCTTTTCTTTTATGTATGAAATATGAATTGATGATATCTATTCATATTATTAGGTTGTCTTGCTATGTTTAGTTTAATACCCTATTTGGGTATGTATGTACCTATCAATAGTGTTATTGTTATCGATTTCGCATTATGTGGGATTTGAATTCTCGTACGTGAGAGGATCCAAATTTTATTATGCGAATGATGTTATTATTTTTCAAAATTTCATAATAAAATCAAATTTGAATTTCTATTAAATTATTATTATTATTTTTTTGCACACTTGCATTGATTAAATTATGTAACTTAAATCACCAATGAATGAATAATTTTTTCTGAAAAAAGTAAAGAATGATAAAAGAAGATAACATCTTCACCAATTTTTATACTTGTCTTGATTTATGTTTGATTTAGCTTCACATGGAGTACTTAATGAACGCAAATGCAATCAAGTTAACTTATTTGGAAAGAGCATTAAAATTTTGCGATAGAGGGATATGAAGAACTGTTTCTGCCATTGTATATTTAGTTGATTATGCATAAAAGTGGTTCATTGAATTTTTTTCTTCATATTTGATGAGTAATGATATGAGAATACAATAGCAATAAAATAATCATAATATATTATGATGATGATGTAGTGATGGTAATTGTTGTGATACTAGCTAATAACAGAAAGGATATAGTTGAAAGTAGAGGTAGAGTAGTGACGTTAGCGACAATGGCGGCAACAATAGAGTGATGATGGTGGTAGTGATAGTGATAATAAAAATGATGGTGGTGATAGCAACAGTAATAATGATGGCAATGGAGGTCTTGAGTTGAGATGATAGTATGGTAATAGGGTGGTTGTGAATAAAGTAATTAAATGATGTTATTTGTGAATTATTGTCTTTAAACTATTTTATGAAACTTAATGAGTTGAAAATATTTTAAAAATTGACCGTAAAATATTTTACATTAACCAATTTTCTTGTAAAATAATTTATGAAAAATAAATGCAAAAAAATTAAAATATATATTTTTTCGCAAAACAAACATAGAATTCTAATTATGACCCGTTTTCTTTTGATTTTTTTTATTGAACTCCATTATTTCATGTAGATGCACATATGAAATTTATCCATACTTCCATACAAAAAAATTGCAGTTCAATGGAGAGCGAAACAAAAAACGAAGTTTTAATCAAGTTAAAATAAGAGGAAGGAAGGATATAATGAAAAATGAAAAATGGAGTAAAAAAAATATAATAAGTTTTGGAATTGCTATGTCTCTTTATTGAAAATCAGGGATAGCTTTTGATTCCTACCTAAACTTTGTGTGTCGTCCCCTTGGTCCTATCCGTTAAGTCAGTTTACTGCAACCAGCTCATTTGAAACCCAAAAAAATCAACCATGACAACAGCGGCTTCTGCTTCACTCATTTCCCTCTCACTTCTCCCTTCAAAACCCCAAATCTCCAGCAAACGACACGAAAATCGTCGTCGTCTGATCCCACTCAACTTCTCTCGCAGAGACGCTGCTTTACTCTCATTCTTCGTTCTCGTCCCTTCCGCTCCTGCTTCTGCTTTCTCCATCGGCATCTGTAAGCAACACTTTTTCTTCGCTTATAAAATGCCGATTAATTTTCTCTAATTGCTTTCAAAACCCTAATTACGCAGCAGGACCGAAGGACTGGCTGAAAGATCAAAAAAAGAAGACTGCGAAATACATATTGGCTCCTATCGATGCCTCCCGTGAAATCCTTCGCTCTGCCTATCTCTTGCTAAGTACGTGCGATTTGAACTTTTTTTTCTTTTGTTGCTTAACTGCTTGATTAGGGCTAATTTGGGTGGTTTTTGGCAGCGGGAAGCGAATCCAAGTTCACGGAAGATAAATTAGAGGAAGTTCAAAAACTGTTAAAATCTGCCGCTAGGGACTGTGTTCCTCAAGAGAGGAATTCGTTTGTTGCGTTTCAGGCTAATACAGGAGTCGAGGTTTGTGCATTTTTTTATCGTGTAGTGTAATTAGGATTTTGATTGGCCGTGCTAAGGAATCATAGGCTTGATTTTAATGTGAATAGGTTTGCACGTTTCGTTTGATTATGAAGAATGCTGCTTCATTGCTTGATAAAAAGGATCCTGTAAAGTTGGAAGCTGAAGCTATTTTGAATGACCTTATAAGGTAAACCATCTTTCCTTCCGTTTTTAGTTAATTGCTTCAAATATAAACTACTGCATTGTATTGACATCCCGACCCTGTGATCAAATGGGGACGATTTATTCCATTATAATCCATTTTTGTTAAGTTTTCAATCTGACATAATGTAGAATGGTATATTAGCAAAGATGAAACTGTCTTAAATTGTTTATGAAGTAATAATAGTGACTGCTTTTAATCTGAGCGTGATTTAAAAAATATATGTGGATTTTCACTAACTAGTCTCCCATAAACGTAGAAGAAAAGAAATGTTATGTCTTGGTGCCGAAGATCATTTTCATCATTAACGACTTTAAAAGAAAGCAAATTCTGATGGACCTCCGAAATGATTGATAAAAAGTTATGGAAAAAATTTTCAGCTTATTTAGGCAGTCCAGTTCCAAAAGCAATCTAGAGACTTAACATTGTGATTGATATTATGTGAATGATTCGTGATTGATTTTCTAACATTCTCTTAAGAGCATTTTCCTTAATGATTATTGTACTGCAGATCTTTCACTTCCCTTGATGGTCTGGCAAATGAAACTAATATTCAACTTGCTTCTGACAGGTATGCTTTCATACTATGCTTACAAGAACCACACTGATTAGTGAATTTGATCGTTAATTATTTTTGTTTGGGAAGGAGGGGAAGGGAAGGGAAAGAAGGGGAAGGGAACTAATTATTTAACCTTGTGTGGGAGAAGTTTTTAATAGGAGGGGAAGGGAACTTTTTTAACCTCCACTCCCCTCCTTTTTAATAAAATGTCTGCCCCAAATTTGGGGCAATGAAGGGTAAGGAAATAAACTTTGGACTTGAACTTATGATTATTTTCTCATTATTTAGTCTTGAAACTTTATTCTAAGGACGTAACTTGTCATCTAAAAACCAAACCTCTCATTTTCATCCTCTTACCAACAAAGAAAAGTTTTTAACTTCCATTAACTGAGTTACAGATGCAAATAAGGAAAGACTATTTTCTTCCCCTCCCTTCCCTTCCCCTCTCTTTCCATTATTCCCCTCCCTTGCCCCCTAAAAATTCCCAAACTCACCAGTTCGTCTCGCTGACAGGGTATACATCCCTTGTTTGTTAACGTTTTAATTTGGTGAAATCTTTTGTTAATAAGTTTAATTCTTTAAAATGGTTCAGCTTCTCTCTAAATTTTTGAATCGTGGCAGTCACATTTGCCTGTCAGGTGAAGCTGAATTGCATGCATGAGCCCATTTAAAATTTCTCCTGACAATTTTCTAATATGCCCTTCCATTCAACCCTTCTGTTTTTGGCAGGCAGAAGGTTGCTGATGCACTCATGAATACCATATCTTCACTTGATAAATTCGAGCAGGGAGTGAAGGATTGCCTCAAAGCTTGACACTTTGGGTCTTCTTCCAGAATGAGAGCATTCAGGCAAATAGTCAAGGTCTTAATTATTTTTTCCCCTTTTAGAATTGAAACTTATTTTGTTTTTACTTTTTTTTTTCTTTTTCTCTTGATGTCTGTTGCCCTTTCCATGTTTTTTTTCCCCTCAAATCTTTGATAGAGGCAAGGTATCTGTATCATAGATTCATAGTATCACGACTGGAACAAATCAGTTTGGTTATGCATAGTTCCCTTTATTTTGTTTGCCTTTTGCATCAGTTGTGGTATTCACATGCAAAGACAGGAAGCTCTTTCCCTCTCATTGGAGAAGATAAACTACTTATGCTTTCTATTGACTTGATAACCTGCATCAGCATCGATAGATATGGTTAATAAAAAAAAATCTGTTCAGAATTGTTTCAATTTTTTTAAAATTCAATAGACCAATGATCTTCTGTGCTTTTGTGAACATAGTTACAGAACTGGTACCACAATGAGCTAAGGTATAATGAAGGCTAATTGATGCCACAATGAGCACCAATCGACAATGAACAAATGGAGATTTCTGACAATTTAGACTGGTATCGCCCCTCATTTGCTGGGAATGTAGCTTGTTGTGGGGATTGTCTGTGTTGGGTTTCTTTCCTGTCACCTGTTCCCTGCTAAGCCCCTTATACGCAGTAGAATAGAAATTTAATCCTGAAATAAAGATCTATGACTTTTTTTTTCAGAGAATGAGAAATTATATGATAAAGTGTTCCTCTGGAAGAAAATGCGATGTATCCTAGTGTATACTTTTGCATGGCTTACAGAAGCAACATACTTCAAATGCATTTTTGCATTCCTTAGGCAACACTAAGGCAATGGTGCTTACATCTTCTCGTATAACCAGATGCGGTGGACACCTATAATTATGACCACATGACAATTTCTATTGGTTGCTTTGATTTGGCAAACCTGCAGCCTCTACCAAATACAAGCGACAGCATGGTTTCCCGTCATCCGGGTGGGTTTGCACAGACCTGTGCAAGCTGCGGAGCTTGTTGAACAGATTCAAAGGGTCATCCATGAGTCCAAAATGAGCATCAGGGTCACCAAGCTGTGAAAGCTTTACGTGAGAAAATCCTAGAGATGGAAGTAGATGATCGGGCCAATCGCTATAGAAGTGGAAGATGGAATTTGACAGTGTGGTGGATGGTTTGTTCATAAAATCTGCCAAGAGCACCGTGTGGGCAAGTGCACATTTATCAGCTACGATGTTTAGTACTTGCATGGCGTGGGAGTGGGAGAGGTAGTAGAGGATACCTTCTAGTACCCAGACTGTGTTCTTCTCTGGCACAAACCCTGATACCTGAAGCTTTTCAAGCCAGTCATTATTTCTTATATCAGCTGCTACTCTGTTTAGGGATTTTGCTGTCATACTTGGATGCAGGTGCTCATCTATTGATTCTGCTGCTGCCTTCAGAAGAGCAGTTTTCACTTCTAAAACTTCAGGAAAATCAACTTCAAAGACGTCACTTTCCTTCAAGCAGCTTAGACGGTATGCTCTTGCATCCATCCCTAATATGCAACATGCACGATATCATTATGAACTAAAACACAAAACAATAATGATTGCAACTGAACTTTGAATGTAAAGTATACAAAAACACTTTAATAATATGCATTTATCCTTGTCATTCTACTTCAGGATTAGGGCCAACTTAAGACATTGCACTCATTTGAGGTGGAAGCTGTCCAGCTGAGATATTTAATTGTGATAGCTGTGATTGTTTATTGTGACTGCCTATATAAGATTGGCCCTGGTCTGGAAGTTGTATTTCTTATATGAGCTGTACATGCATCATGTTTTTCACAAATTTTTTATTCATGATTTTGCAGTCTGATTCAGTATATACTACTTGCAGAATGGGATGTTAAAGGATTATAAGCCTCTCGGACTCTGGTTTGGTATGTGTAAGAACAGTGCAGGTAGGGACCAGTAGTCTTTCCACAGAGAAGTGTAAACGAGCTCTGCATTATATTGTGCACAACTGTGTGCTGCAGCCTATTTTAAACATCACTACTTGAGAAAGAAGCAGAGTTTACAACATCAACATCTATACATTGTATGTGTAAAATGGTCAAGCATGTAAAGAATTGGGATAAACTGATTACCAACCTGCGCCAAGGAGAACAACCTGTCCTTTACCATTGAAGGAACTGAGAGCAGCTTCAATTTTCGAATCAAACCAGAGTGTCCGAACTGCAAGAATCACCCCTGAAATTTCTCGAGCATTGTTGAGGTGGTCATTCTGTATCTTCTCATGAAAGTTTTTGAGATATGCCTCTCCTGCAAGCAAGTCTGCATATGGGTCATGGATTACGTGTTTCCACAGGGCTCTTCCAGCCGCTGTTTGGCATGCTGACCGTCGGAGAGAATCCCACTCATTTTGGATTGTTGCATGGAGTCCCTGAACTGTATCAGTATATAACAAATGTGGGAGCTTTAGTTCTAGCCATTGGGGGTCTTCCTGCAAGCAGTTTTCTTGGTAAGACATTTTATTTTTTTAGCGGAGAAACTTGAAGACAAATATTAGAAGAGCCGGAGTGACAGAACGCTTGCAATATATAACAGAAGCGTTTATTATTAGGGAATTGTGGCTAGGGATAAGAAAAGAGAACCACACACTAACCAACGCTTGAGAATAGAGCTCAATCGTATCCAGGTTCTCTGCCGCGAGAAAAAGGAAGGCAAAAATGTAGTCCACGAGTATTACCATTTCTTATGCATTGCCCTTTCCTTTCTGCTGTCCCTTTCGAGTCGAATAAAGGAAGCAATGAAATATGGTTTGCTCCCACCAGCAAGGATCTATTATCAGATGTGAGTGGCTCTCAACTTCCTAACTAAGAAGTCCTATTCCACTTTTGGTTACATGTTGTAAGCATGAACAGTCCAATTCAATTCAACGAGTGTCACAAGACAGCTGGTGGAAGAAGGGTTCCTGTTAAGGATCACGTTTGCAATTGAGTGGTTCTAAATGAGGACAAGGAGCCATTTTGAAACTCTTAACAAAAAAAAAAAGAAAAAAAAAAGGAAAAAAAAAAGGGCGAGTTCGAAAATTCCTGTTTTCTATATTTTTTCCGTAAACATTCTACCCTTTTGGACCAATATTGAACAGATATTTGCGATGCAATTGTGCTTTCAAATTGCACAAGCTAGCATTAATAATCTTGCAAAGTCCTTTTTCCAGATAGCGAGATGAGTTAAAAGTTGATACAAATTTCCCTTTCCTTCTACTTTTCCTCTTGCTCCGTTTCAGCTATACGTGTAGTGTACCTAGTCGAGCCTTCTGATCAGTTTGAGGATTGTTTGGAATTATTTGCGGTTAGCGGGTTTTTTTCCCCTTAACTTCCGTAAAAAAATAAAAATAAAAATAAAAAACCTTGGATTTAAAAAAAAAAAAAAACCAAAATCAACAGTAACTTTCATTGGTTTTGAAAACAGGTTGATTTTTCTTTTTTTTTTTCCCAAACAAAAGAACATTTGTTTTTGTTTTCAAGTTTCTGGCAACAAAATCAGAAATTAAATGGCGCCTCCATAGTTCTTTTTATCTTAAGGCATTCTTTATGATCCTCGTTAACAAAAAACAGTTTAATAGTAAATTTTGCTCTCATTTTATTATGATTTGATAATTTCATACCATTAATATTAAATTATATAATTTGAATTTCAAATTATTGATTTTCGAACAAAATTGATTTAATTTTCCTAATTGTCATTATCGATAATGATCGATCGAGTTGAATGTTATTTGAAATGTCAAAACGACATCTTTTTCACATTCGGATGTTACTTATGTTTTTTTATGAAAAAAATTAAAATATTTTTAAACCTCCAAATCTTGAACTTTTTTTTCTTATAAAATATTATAGATATTTTATAAATTATATAAAAAATATTTTTAATCTCCTAATTTTGAATTTTTTTTAATTCTTTTTCATTATTTATAATTTATAAATTTAGGGGGGCACCCTTCAATTATTTTCATTTTAATTTATCAAATATTATAATTTATATTATAGGCATTTTAATACTCATTGGATATTATAAACATTTTATAAAAATATTGTAAAAAAAATTAATAATACACAATTTCGGGTCTAAATTTTTTTTTATAAATTAAAATAAGCATAATTAAGGGTTGATCGCCCCGATTTTATAAATTATAAATTATAAAAAAATTATAATATTTTATAAAAAAATTTAAAAAAAGTTCAAAATTAGAGGGCTAAAATTATTTATAAAATATTTTTATATAATTTATAAAATATTTACAATATTTTATTATAAAAAAAGTTTTTAAAAAAAATTTGAGATTAGAGTGGTTAAAAATAATTTTTATAATATTTTTTTAAAAAAAAACATAATTAACAATGAAATTCTTAAATAATGTCGTTTTGGGCATTCCAAGTAACAACTAACTCAATTTATCGTTACATATAACAACAATTAGGAAAATTGAATTAATTTTTCTCAAAAACCAATAGTTTGGGATTTAAATTATGTAATTTAGTATTAAAAACCCGAAATTGCCAAATCGCAATAGAATGAGAATAAAATTTACTATTAAACCAACAAAAAAGACTAAACGAAAACCAACCTTATTCATGATCCACGTTAACAAAAAAGACTAAAAGAAAACCAACTTTTACTATTTGTGTACTATACGTTTCACTATAGGTGAGCCAATTTCACTTTGGATTTAGATTCATTCGCAATATATTTTTAATATTTAGCCAAAGCATTTCAATTTGATCCTTCGATTATAGGAACTTTTTTTTTCGATCTAGAACTTCATTTTTTTTTATTTCGATCTTTGGATGTCTCAAAGAGAGAAACGAAAGAGAGAGAGAGAGAGAGAGAGAACCGGTGAAGCCCATTCGGCCGCTTAACAGTTGAAATTATATTCAATTTGTGATGGTTACAAACTATAAAATGAATGGAGGAGGTGGATCAGATTTTCAAATTTTTTTTTTGAGATTTTTTATTTTAATTTGAATTTTGATATGTTTTTTATGTATTAAAATGGATTTCAAGACTCCAAAAGATATTTTAGACTTTATTTATGTGATTTAGAGATGTTTTTTTTTTTTTGGACAAAAAGATGTTAAATTTGTATTGGAATGATCAAAACCACAAAACTTGTTTTTCTAAAATGTTTTTCGATCAACCAAGGTTGGTTGAGAATTGTAGACGAGCAACAAGTCGTCTGACGCGCCTAAAGCGGATAGCATGTTATTCATCTTCTATCTAATTTTGTATTTTTTTTCATTTATAACTTTGCCTTGTGCCGGCTTGTAAGCAGGGCCAAACACACGAGCCTGTGCTTTAGCTATTTTTATTGAGAATTTTAAGCAAAAATTATAAAAGATCGAACGTTATTTTTTGTGATTTTCATGCAACCTTGTGAGGATGAAATTATATATGAAATCATTTTATAGTTTAAAATAAACGTATATTTTAATTATATTACTCTTATTATTTAAATTGTTTTCCTTCAATTTCTCATATCTTATGAAAATTCTCTTCCAATGAATTTTTTTATTATAAAATTTTATTCGCTAATAAGTCTCTATATATAGATCTTGAAATATTTTTTTAAAACATGATTGTTTTTTTAAAAAATACATTATATTATTTATATCATGGATTCTTAGCATTTATGAATGATGGTCACATGGTTATAAAAATAATGTTAATAGTGTATTTTAGATAATTTATTTCTAAATTTTTTTAATATACTCAGTTTGTATTTCATATTTCAACCTCCTAAGTAGAGTCATAATGAATAAAAAAATTATTAAATCATCGATTTTATACAAAATTAATGGGATAATTACACTAAAAGTACATCAACTTCAACCTTTTTTGAATCAAATATGTAAACTTTAATTTCTTTCATTTGAGTGTACAACTTTTTCAAAACTCGTCAATCAAATACTTCGTCAATTTTTTCATTAACTAATGATGTGTTTGTTATCCTCAAAAGACCAAATTATAATTTTGTCTTTTTTTCCAATAAGGTGCATAAACTTTAATTTTTTTAGACTAGTACACCAATTTTTTCAAAAATATCAATCAAGTACTTTAGTCAATTTCTCCATTAATTGATGACGTGATCGAATATCAAATTACATTTTTTTTCGTTTTTATTGTAATTAACACTCTCCTTAAATTATTATATCATTTTAAAATTTGATAAAAAAATTAAAAAAAAGAAGAAGAAGAAGAAGAAGTTATTTTCGGTTATCATGTCACGATCCCCAAAGTGGGCCATGATCGGTATGAGAATCGAGGGAATTGTGAGGCCCACCTCGACTCAAGCAAGCCTCGAATGTTTAAACTATAATTCTCAAACTTGTATCATATTAGATATCATTTCTAATTTGCAATATCATAGCCTAATAGTTAATACCTTATAACTCCAACACGGTGATAATTTTTAATATTCTTATACTTTTCAAAAACAATATCCAAAATTAAATTCTAATACAACTCCCATAAGTATAACCGCAAAGTTTCTAAATAATACAATAAAATCAAATCGTAAGTCAAAGAGATTACAAGTAAATAAGTCGCATAATCAATGTGCTGACTTCAAGACAAGTAGTTTAATAAAAGTAAAAGTCAATCTCACAACCCCGCAAAACTAAAATGGTGAAGTATGAGCAAATCAACAACTCAATGAGTAGATACTATATAACATATTTAAGGAAGAGAAATGAATTAAGGATGATAATTTAAAACCTACTCAAGATGCAATGTTTATTTCTCAAAGTCAAATGCATATTACACACACACACACACACACACACACACACACACATGTATCAAATCATGTATCATATTTTAAATAGTTTAAATCCAAATCATATCAAATCATCAAATTGTGTATATCATATAATCAAATCACGTCAAATATCCGAATTTACACTTAACGTGAAACAAACATAACGTATTGTTGGATGTGAAAGCCCAAAGGCCATGTCCCTCATAGTTAGGTTTTCATATGTTGGTCGACACACGGACTAGCACTACACCTCTCCTACTAGCTGGAGTATTACGTATCGGTGAGCTCACATGCTACAACCCCCGTAGCTAGGTAACCCAAGGTAACCTCGTAATGCTCGGTAACCGCTAAAATATAAATGTAATAAAAGTTTAATATTAAAACCGTGTGAAAAACATATATATATATTTGAAAATGAGAAATAATTACTAGAAACTTAAAAGAATATTTAGAAGGGTCAAGATAGTTTTCCATGCTTAAAGAATATTTTAGTGATTTTTCGGTACATGAACGAGTAGTTATTGCATGAGAAAATTAATTAAAGCATGTTTTTTGTGTATGAAAAATATTTTTTTTGTTTAGAATAAATCTTAGAAGGGTGTTAGATTATTTTATATGATTTTATGATTTTTTTCTACATGTGGTGAATACTTCATTGAATTTTCTAAGTGTAGGAATAGTGTTTTTAAAGGTAAACAATTTAATTA